TCAACATGTTTTAGAATAAATGTTTTATCAGTAATTTAAAGTGCATCGTTTCAGTATCAAATGATTACCTAATTGAATATAGCTTTTTGCCATTTTTCAGATTTAAAATAAAAATAGATTATATAACTATAAGCAATTGGTGACATGATTGGATCTTGTTCTTATCTCATGGTTTTAACAAACAGAACTCTTGCTAAAAATTATTTTAGTTTTTTTTTTCCTCCTGAAAATTTATGTTTTGTTTTTGTTCCTCCCTTGGTGGAGGAAGAGGATTGTAGTGAGAGGAGTTGGTTTTGTGTTTTAATTCATTTGCTAACTAGAGAATTGTTGATTTTAATTTTTGAACAATGGAACTTTTTGGTATAGTAGAATTAGATTTGCCCCTTATATCATGTTAGTGCTCGGGTTCTGCAGAACTGTGTTTAAAATTATTGCTGGGCCAGCAGGTGGTATGGTGATTAGGTGCTGGACTTCCACATGGCCTACTGTGGTTCGAGTGCTGACCTGTGGCTTGAAAATGACACTGGGCCTATATATCCAAGATCTCAGGAGGAGAAATGTTTGCTGCTAGACCATCTACCCTTGGGGTGTGATTTCTGACTGTCTCTTTGTCTCTCTTGGTGAGCGTACTTGCCCTATGGCAAAGCAAAAATGTTTGGTAATGGCTTTTCTATAAAAGATATATTGTCCTTTTTTTACTCAGTATGTATTTATTGAGTATCATTCTAAGCTTTGTATATGTAGCAGTGAACAAAAGTTTTTATCTTCATAGAGCTTATCTCTGGTAATTCTTTTCCAAAAAACTTCATATAATCAATAACATAGGCCTTAAACGGTGTCTTGAAAACTAATGTTCTTACAAGTGATTTGTACTAAAAGCTATCTTCTATTCTGTATTTATCATCTTTTTCATTTGGGTTACTTAATAATGAATACTATTGCTTCAGCACCCCCCCCCCTCCTTTTTAAATCAAACTCTTCATAATACGGAGTTTTAGTTTTTCTTTATTTTGTACTTGTCTACAAGTCTAAATAAATATTACACATGAATTATATATATACCCTAAGAGTTGGAATTTTTAAATGTTCATTTTTGCCCTGATAAATTCTGCTATCTAAATATAGTTTTAAATGCAGGCAACATGAAATTTTAAGAAGTTTCTGAAACTGAGCATAAACATCAAGAATGTCATTATTAATTTCTTTTTTTTTTTACTTTGTGTTCTCTCTGAGGGATCTTTTTATATGATGCAACTAGACTTCTGATTCTATTTGTAGACCATATATTTAATAGTATTCCAGTTGGTTAATTTTAAAGATGAATTTGCTATCCGACAAAGTAGTTTAAATGCATTCCAGCAGCTTAATAATGTACAAATAGAGGCAACTGGTTTTGCACCTGTTCTTTAAGCAGATATGAAGTGGAATAACTGAGGAGTTGTTAAATAACTGGGAAAATATTTTAAACATGATATATTTCAATATTATACAAGGCCAGTGACTAGCTATTTCTTATTTATGAATTAGACATCTTTGTTACATAAGCAATAAATATCTAAATATTTCATCTACAGCAGATAAAATAAGTATAAAATACACTGTATCTTATTCTTTCGATAACATTGGAAATTTCTAGACACATTTGTAATTGGTCTAATTAACAGTTATCATGATACGAGAGTATATTTACTCTTCATTTAAGGCAGAAAGGAGTTTGCATTTGTTCTTTGTCTTTGATTTCTCTCCTCAAGATTAAGGAGTTCAACTTCAATTTAGGAATTGATGGTTAGTAGTATTTTCATTTTAAAAACTAGCAAAAAAAAAAAAAACTAGCAAAATTATTGCATAACAAAGAAAATTTCAAATGAGTAAAAGGAAAAACACCTTTAATTTCAAATACAAAGACTCACAACAGTTATTATGGTTATATTCTTCCAGAAGTTATGTTTGCCTATCAGTATAATGTTATTAAAATACAAGCTAAATCTAATGTTTAAGGCTATGAGGCTTATCTTCATTAAAAAGAGGGGTATGGAGGACCAGCAGATGGCATGGTGGTTAAGGTGCTGGGCACTCCCACATGGCCAACCACAGTTCAAGTCCCAGACTTGATGGCTTCCTTTCTCTCTCTGTCTCTCTGTCTCTATCTCTGTCTCTCTTTCTGTGTGTGTGTGTGTCTCTCTCAAGTTAAAATAAATAAATGAATAAATAAAATTAAATATATAATACTTTTTAAAAAAGACAGATATGGGGCCAGCAGTCAGTGTGGGGTTAAGATACTAAGACACTCAACTCCTACATGGCTGACTGTAGTTCTAGTTCCAGACCAGGCAGCCTGAAAATCACACCGGCTGTGTGTGCATGTGTGCCAGAAATCCCAAGAGGAGACTGGAGGACAAGGGATTGCAGCTTGGCCATCCTCCTGAGTATCCTCCCTCTCTCTGTCTCTGGCAGATTCATGCATTCTATGGCAAAGACCTAAAAGAAAAAAAAATAAAGAGGAGCTCATATTGGTCATTGAAAAAGTCATGACATGTTTTTCTATACAAAAGTACATCATGAGTTTTATGACTACCCAATAGTTTTCTTCAAAAAAATTAAAAAACTGCAGTACTATTTATACTCACTACTATCATGAGCATCTTTATTAGAGTACTAATTTGCATTAAGTTTTCCAATGTATTTCTTCCATGAGACAGACAGAGAGAGAGAGAGAGACAAGGAAACTCAAGCAAAGTCTTCATGCCACAACTCACTTTGTTTCGGGTAGCCAGGATCATGGACATGTGCGTCTGATCTGTTCAGGGAGGTCCTGGTATGCTCACCTGGGACCTTGTTCTAGGTGGGTCCCATTGCATTATCACTGTGCTACACCTCGCCCTCTATTAAATTTTAAACATGATTTACCATAGTTTACTCAGTGTTGCCCAAAGCATATAAATGCATACTTTTGATTTTAGATGATGATGAGATATTTAGGTGTATCCTGACCTAGTGTTTAAATACATTGAAGAGTATTGTAAGAAAAATTATGTTTTCAAGTTTTCCACATGCTTATGATAGCCAAAGTCCATTTGATACCCATATGTATGTATGTGTGTGTGTGTGTGTGTGGTGTATCCACGTGTGTGTGTATGTATGTGTGTGCGTGTGTGTGTGTATGTATGTGTATATATATATATGTGCAGGCAGACAGACTCGTCTGTTCGAGAGAATAAGTATCACAGAGAGAGCCTGAGAGAAGGAAAAGCACCATCTCCCAGTAGGGTGTGGTCACACTTCACGTCTTCTGCATTTCTCCATCCTGTCAGGATTTGAGGCATACATTCATATATGGTACGTTTTTCAAGCTGCCAGGGCTGGAATTTAAACTGCAGTTGGCCACGTAGGCTTCAGCTCCCTTAATCACTAGGCTATAGGGCCGACCCAATGCTCATATATTTTTAACACCCTTCTAACACTTACCCATTTCTCTCATAGCCTCCAGTACTGTCTAACTACCAATAAAATGTTAAGAACAGTTTGGGGGGGACCAGCAGGTAGCATAGTGGCTAAGATGCTCTACTTCCACACGGCTGACTGTAGCTCAAGCCCGGGACCTAGAGCTTGAAAAATCATGCCAGGCACATGTGCATGCATGCCCAAAAATCCCAAGAGGAGAATGAAAGAAAAGGGATTGTTGTGTGGCCATCCACCCTAGGGAGGTGATGTCTTACTTTCCCTCTCTCCACCTCTCTCTGGCAAATATGTGTGCCTTATGGCAAACAACTAAAAAGAATAATTTTATTTTTAAAGAGTTATTTACTTTAATTTTATTTATTATCATTTCTAAATTTGACTAGAGAGAAAAGAGAGAAAGACAAAGTGAGAAAAGAAGCCACCAGGTGTGGCATTCGAACCATAGCCATTTGTGAGTCCACTGTCTTAACTATCATGCCACCTGCCATCTCCAAGAAGTTTTTTTTTTAATTGTTGTGGTTTTTTTTTTTAGGTTTGCTTGCTTTTTGTTTGTTTGTTTTGTTTTGTTTTGTTTTGTTTTTAATTGACAGGGTATTTGCACTCACCAGAGAA